GGTTTGCTGCAGACAAGCAGACTAAGCACATGGATTTCTGGACCCATATCCTGTGGTCGGATGAGACCAAGATAAATTATTTGGTTCAGATGGTGTCAAACGTGTGTGGCAGCAAACAGGTGAGGAGTACAAAGACAAGTGTGTTGTGCCTACAGTCAAGCATGATGGTGGGAATGTCATAGTCTGCAGCTGCATGAGTGCTGCCGGCACTGGGGAGCTACAGTTCATTGAGGGAACCATGAATGCCAACATGTACTGTGTCATACTGAAGCAGAGCATGATCCCCTCCCTTTGGAGACTGGGCTGCAGGGCAGTATTCCAACAAGATAATGGCCCCAAACACACCTCCAAAACAACCACTGCCTTGCCAAAGAAGCTGAGGGTAAAGGTGATGAACTGGCCAAGAATGTGTCCAGACCTAAACCCAGTGAGCATCTGTGGGGCATCCTGAAACAGAAGATGGATGAGCGGAAGAGGACTCCAATGGCAACCTGTGAAGCTCTGGTGAACTCTATGCCTAAGAGGATTAAGGCAGTGCTGGAAAATAATGGTGACCACACAAAATATTGACACTTTGTGCCCAATTTGGACATTGTCACTTAGGGGTTACTCACTTTTGGTGCCAGCTATTTAGACATTAATGGCTGTGTGTTGCGTTATTTTGAGGGGACAGAACATTTACACAGTTATACAAGCTGTATACTCCCTGCTTTACATTGTGACACAGGTAAATGCAGGCAAGGTACTTGTACACCACCAACCGCCAACAAGTTTGCTGATTTTTTTTCTTCTGGCATTAATCAGTGGTATTTCATAGAGTAAAAAAACTAGAATAGTTTTTTGGTGGTAACAACAAGAACAAGAACAAGAACAAGAACAAGAAAAGAACAAGAACAACAACAACAACAACAACAACAATAATAATATCTTTGTTAATCTCCGGTGGAACCTATTTATTCAACCCAGTGGGTAGTCCAGTAGAGTAACACCCTGAGATGTCATGGAATTGTTTAACCAGTGTCTATCCTGAGGTGGTCTCTTCCCTCTTAGTTGAAGTATCTGTATTTGTAATGGACAATAGTGGCATGACCAGAACATTCCCTGCCAGCTTGACAGAACAGAACAGAGCTTGAACATAACGGTTGAAATCATGTCACACAATCAGGAAAAGGTGTGTACCTTTTGGAAATGAACCGCCATATGTTCAGCAATTTCTGTAGATGTTACTTGTTTCACTCCGATTTTCATATGGTATAGTGGATAGAGTGACAGACTAGGACTCGGGAGACTTGTTTTCATATGGTATAGTGGATAGAGTGACAGACTAGGAGTCGGTAGACTTAGGTTTGACTCCCTGTTCAGCCAAGGAAACTGAAGAGGGCATGGAACTGGTAAAACAATTCTTTTTCATTTACCTTGGAAGCCTTATTATGGTCACTGGAAGTCAGTTCCAACTTAATGACGTGTAACATACATACACAGTGTGATGTAAAACATCTTACGTATAGTGGATAGAGTGACAGACTAGGAGTCGGTAGACTTAGGTTTGACTCCCTGTTCAGCCAAGGAAACTGAAGAGGGCATGGAACTGGTAAAACAATTCTTTTTCATTTACCTTGGAAGCCTTATTATGGTCACTGGAAGTCAGTTCCAACTTAATGACGTGTAACATACATACACAGTGTGATGTAAAACATCTTACAGTATTAGTTTCTGTGAGACTTTGAAACATATGCCAAGACGCACAACATTACATGCACAACAGTTAAGGAGAGGCTGCATAGGGAGAGTGCCATGTGAGGGAGCATGCCTTAAGGCTTAATGTTTTGTCTCACCATATTTTCAGGCTGACTCAAGTCACCACTGCCCTGTGCTACTTGTCTCAGGAGAAACATTACTAAGTGGATTTTTGCTCCCAGGAGAAGTAGCAAACATAAGAAGATCAGGATCTGCCCTAATGCACCACCTCAGACAATCCTAATTACCCAATACCAGCAAAAATGATTCTTAGTTCCTCCCAACCCCAGTGAGCTCTTAGACACATTTTTACCTTCTGGGGGTTTAGTGTCCATCAAGTTGCACTCCTCTGGCTCAGATTCAGTACTCTGCTTGATGCTCTCCACTTCTAGCCAAAAAGTATCCATTGAGAAGTTGCTGGAGGAGTTTGCCCTGGAATGGCAGCACTCTGATCGCTGAGGGAACTCCAAGGAGCTCTTCCGAGGATAGTGGCTCATTTTGCACAGGCAGTTTCTGGTGCCAAGAAAGAGGGAAAGGAGACAAAGTTTGTTTGTTTGTTTGTTTGTTTGTTTGTTTAACTTATATGCCGCCCACTCTACCTAAAGGTCTCTGGGCGGCTTACAACCATTATAATACAATTAAAATACAATAAAGAGATAAAACAGTTAAAATACAATTAAAATAGATACTCTAAAAACTGCCATCAGGACCCATAGTTGATATTATTTCAAGTAAAAGCCTTCTGGAACAGGAAGGTTTTGAGCTGGCGCTGAAATGTCATCAGCGTCGGCGCCAGACAAATCTCAGTCGGGAGGGCATTCCATAGTCTGGGGGTAGTTGCCGAAAAGGCCCTTTGTCTACAAGCCATCCCTCTTACCTCCTTGAGGGACAGCTCCTTCAAAAGGCCCCCCTGGCTAGATCTTAACTGCCGGGTAGGCTCATACGGAAGGAGGCGGTCCTTCAGGTATCCAACAATACCAAGCTGACATGTACTAACTCCACCATGACCTAACTTGAAAAGAAACACCCTTCAAAGCAGGGAAACCAACCATCAAGGCAAAACCACAACAGTAAGATCTGAAACCTATGACAATCTTCACAGCATTAGGAAAACCATGGCAATCAAACCTTCGTCCTTTAAAATTTAAAAAAGTGTGAGAGAAAAGGGTACCAAGAATGCAGTGTAGCCAGTGCAGTTCTTTCGAAAAGACAAATATGTTCTTCTCTCTTTCACATTTCTAGAGACAATTAACACCACATTTACAAATGGGACTATTTGCAAGTGTCAGAGGAAGCTTTCACTTCACTAATACTGTATGAAGAGAGCTTCTCTTTGTTGACAGCATTACAAACATCCAGCAAAGTGTCTTTCAAGTGGCTCTGAAAAACAACTAGAAGCCATAAACTCATTGAGTGATAATGGGCAGTCATTTCTGTTCCCAACTTGACCTACCCTCAGAGGGTCGCTGGGAGGATGAAGAGGAAGGAAAGTCACAATTACTGCTCCAAGCTTATTGGATGAAAGGTGGGATACAAATGTAAACCCATCACCACTGCTGGACCACATTCTGTGTGCTTTACGAAACTGAATACCCACATCCTGGGTAGAGACAACACGTGGACTGCTTGTCTTCACCCCCATTCCAAAAACAATTTTAAAACATGGTAGCACTGAACACGATATATACAGTGGTACCTCAACTTACAAACGTCCCTCCTTATGACCGTTTCTAGTTACAACCAGCTCCGGTTGCAAAATTTTTGCTTCTACTTGTGACTGGAACTTCCACTTGCGAACAGAAAAAGGCAGTGGGGGAAAGGCAGGAAATTCAAATTGCTAACTGTAGATGGCGACGAGGCTGCTTCTTTGTAGCTCTTTAGCCCCAGCAGTTAGAGTGTGTGTGTCGGAGGAGGCTTGGGATTGCCTCCTTCTGCTTCTGAGTGAGCGTGTGTTTGCAGGGAGGCTTTGGGCTGCCTGGCAAGGTAAGGTGCTGTTTACTGCTTTTTAAAAACTGTTCTGGGTGTTTTTGCAGCGTGGTTTTCAGCTGGGGGGGGTATGTTTCTGTGTTGTGATGGGTCTTGGGGGGGGTGTTTGTTTTTTGAGGTTTTTTCCCCATTTCCGATGGGGTGTTTAGTTCCTTTTTAGAGTGTTTTTTCCCATTTCTGATGGGTCCTCTGAAATTTGTTTGTTTTTTTGGTCCCCCCCCCCAATTTCTGATGAATCTTGGAGGATTTGGTTGCTTTTGGGGGATTTCCCCCCTATTTTCGATGTGTGTCTTGCATGCTTTTTGCGGCCTGCCCCCTTTGTTATCTGTGCATTTCTGATCTGCTCTGTTTGTTTTCTGTGCATTTCCAATAGGTCTTGCATGCTTGATTTCTTTTCTCCCCCCCGCCCCCGGCCTCAGCCGGAAGGGATTAATTGCATTTCGATGCATTCCTATGGGAAATGGTGCTTCAACTTACTACCATTTTGAGTTACGTCCATCTTCTGGAACGGATTATGGTCGTAAGTTGAGACACCATTGTAAAGCATTCAGGAGAGTATTTGTTTTAACTGAAGCAATTGGCAGCTTGTGATGGGAACAGAGTGCTCCTCTTAACATTTTAGGTAAAGGCACACACTGCTTGCTCCATGAATTGCTCCTGGTAAAAGCTTCTGAGCTTCTTCCAGGTTCACCTAAATCAGTATTCCCTACATTGACTGGCAGATGTGTCCTGCATCTTTGCCAACAGCTGCTATCTTATCAATTCCACCAGAGGTGCCAAATATTGAACCAGGGACCTTCTTCATGAAAAACATCTTTTGCACTACTGAGTACTACTATGGTCCCTTACCTGAAACAACTCATATGTTTCTAATGCTAACAAAATTCAAAACTATGTCAATGAAAACAAGCCTGTCTGTTACACAAGTATTTACAGTGGTGCCTCGCTTAATGGGTGCCCCATTTAATGACGAATCCGCATAGCGACTATTTTTTTGCAATCGTTTTTGTGATCGCATTGCGATGTTTTTAATGGGAAAATATTGCTTTGTGATGATCTGTAAGCTGTTTTGCTTACCAATTTTCGCATAGCGATGATTTCCCAACAGCTGATCGGTGGTTCCAAAATGGCTTCCGGTTTAAAGTACAGTGGTGCCTCGCTAGACAATGATAATCTGTTCTGCTGAAATCGCTGTTTAGCGAAATCATTGTCTAGC